AGTACTTGCTCGGTAAATCTACAGCAGTCATAGACAAAAATAGAGGAGCATAGAAAAATGATAGAAATCATAAAAGTCTATCATAGGAAACAAACAGAATCCATTAAACAGATTCAAACAGATATTCAGGAAATTAAAAATTCCACTGAAAGTTTGCAAAACTGAATGAAAAAAAGTGAAGACAATATCAGACCTAGAAGACAGGATCTTGATTAAAAATCATGAATCATGAAAAGAAAGATCTCTTAAGAACAGTACCGGACCATGAAAAAACAATCCAACAACTGCAAGATGATACAAAGCAGAACAGCATATGATTGATCACATTCAATAAAAAAGCAGGAGTCAGCACAAATGAGATGAAAAACTGGTTTACAGAAGTAATAGCAAAAAATTTCCTAAGTATGGAAAAAAGAACTTAACATGCAGATAAGTGAGGCATACAAAACTCCAAATTTGTCATGAACAAAATAAATCTCTGCCAAGGTATACAGTAATACAGAAATTCAGCACAAGAACAAAATATTAAAAGTTATTAGACAAAAGAAACAAATCACCTATAAAGGAAAGCCCATCAGAATCACAGCAGACTTCTCAACACAAATCCTTAAGACAAGGAGAACTTGGAGTAAAGTATTTTAAGTATTAAAAGAAAACAACTTTCAACCCAGATGGATGTACCCTGAAAAATTACTCTACAGAATTAATGGAGAAATAACATGACAAAGAACAACAGAAGAAATTCATGACCACCAAAACACCTTTACAAAGTGTTCTGAAAGATATTCTAGGAAGAGATAACAAAAACCACAATTCCAAGAGAACCAAATAGAAATAAGCCATCAGGCAAGGCAAGCAATTAGAGGGGAAAGACAAGAATCGATCAGCAGGAAAACAATATGACAAGGACAAACCAATATATATCAGTTATAACCATCAACAGAAATGGTCTCAATTCGCTGGTCAAAAGAAATGGCTGGCAGAATGGATCAAGAAACAAGATCCAACAATATGCTGCATTCAAGAAACACATTTAACTTAAAAAGAAATTCATAGAAAGTCAAAGGATGGAAAACAATACTCCACATGACAGGAACCCCCAAAAAAAGCAGGGGTAGCTATTCTATTTTCAGACAATGTTAACTTCAAGCTAAGACAGATCAAAAGAGATAAAAAAGGTCACTATATAGTTCTTAGGGGACTGCTCCAAGAAGAAGAGATAAAAATCATAAGTATACATTCATCAAACACAGGTTTACCCAACTATATAAAACAAATATTAATGGACACGAATAATCAAATAAGCACTAACACAATTGTAATGGGGGACCTTAACTCTCTATTGTTGCAAATAGATCAACTAGACAAAAAAAATTGAAGAACAAATATCAGAACTGAACCAAACTTTTAAACCAATGGATTTAGTAGATGTCTACAGAGTGTTTTACCCCATAACATCACAATGCACATTCTTCCTAGCAGCACATGGGAGTCTCCAAAGTAGACCACAAGCCATCTCATAGAACATACTTGAGTAAATACAAGGAATTTAAGTTATCCTATGAATATTTTCTGACCATAGTGCAGTGAAACTGGAAATCAATGGCAAAGGAAACCACAAAACTCCAAAAATACACAGAAAATACTGACCAACCAGCCGATCACAGATAAAATTAAAGAAAAATTAAACAGTATCTACAATTAACTAATAATCCCAATATAACATAGTAAAACTTCAGGGATGCAATGAATGCAGCCCTAAGGGAAATTTACAGCTGTGAATACTCACATCAGGAAAATAGAATGATCTTAAATGAACAACCTAATGTTGAACCTCAAACTTTTAGAAAAAGAACAAGTCAAGTCCAAAGCTTTAACAATGGAGGGAAATACACACATAAGAGAAGAACTTGATGCAACTGAGACTAAGAAAACAATACAAAAATAAATCAATTAAAGAGTCCTTTGAAAGATTAAATAAAATTGACAAACCCTATTGACAAACCCAAAATCGACAACTTTATATATAAAAAGCAAAGATTCAAATTGATGTAATTAGGAATTAAAAGGGTAAAATCACAGTGGTCCTTTGGAAATCCAGATCATCAATATCCACTTCAAAAACTTTTACTCTAAAAAGATGGAAAATAGAAGAAATAGACAGATTCCTAGATACACGTGAATTACCAAAGTTGAATCAAGAAGATATAAAAATTCTAAATAACCCAGTATCAGTCAATAAAATTGCAAATATCATTGAAAACTTAGCAACAAAGAAAAGCTTAGATCCTCATGGATTCACTACTGAATTCTACAAGAAATTTAGAGAGGGTCTAATGCCATTATTCCTCAAACTCTTTAACGAAATTGAATGAGAACCAATACTCCAAAGTCATTCCTAGAAGCAAGTATTAACCTGATACTAAAACCAGAAAAAGACCCAACCAAAAAGAGAACTACAGGCCAATCTCCCTAATGAATATAGACACAAAAATCCTCAATAAGATACTGGCAAACAGAATGCAGCAAATCATCAAGATTATACACCATGGCCAAGTAGGATTCATCGCAGGGAAGCAGGGACATGGTTCAACACATGCAAATTAATAAATGTAAATATACCATATTAACAAAGACAAGGACAAAAAGCATATAATCATTGAAAACTACAGTTCTCTGAAAAAAGAGACTGAAGAATGTATCACGAAATGGCAAGATATACTTTGCTCCAACATAGCAGAAATGGACATACTTCCAAAATAGTTATACAGATTTAAAGCAAAATACCATCACCATACCTCACAGAACTAGAGAAAAAATTCCTAAAATTCATTTGGAACCAGAAGAGATCTAAAATAGCAAAAACAATTCTAGGCAACAAAGGCAAGACAGGGGGCATTACCATCCCTGACTTGGACTTATACTACAAAGCTACTGTGATAAAAACAGCACAGTACTGACAAAAAACAGACCTGAGGATCAATGGAACAAATTAGAAGATGCAAAAACAATTCCAAACCTACTCAATCACCTAACCTTTGACAAAGGGGCAAAACACCTTCACTGGAAGAAAGATAGCCTCTTTAATAAAGAGTGGTGGAAAAACTGGCTTTCCACATGCTGAAGACTGAAAGTAGACCTATGTCTATCACCATGCACTAGGCTAAAATCAAAGTGGATCAAAGATGTAAACATTAAAACAGAAACATAAATTTTCTGGAGCGAGAATAGGTAGAACTCTTGAAGACATAGTTGTAGGCAAAGACTTCATGAACAACATCCCAGTGGCAAGAGAAACACTAAAAAGAATCAACAACTGGGATCTCATCTTATTAAAAAGCTTTTGCACAGCAAAAGAAATCACCAAAAGAGTGAAAAGACAACCCAAAGAATAGGGAAAAAATCTTAGTCAGTTGTTCTTCTGACAAAGGACTAACATAAAGAACATATAAAGGACTGAAAAAAGACCAGAGTCACCAAATTTAAAGACCTAATCCAAAAACGATCACCTGAAATGGGTAGACTCTTCTCAGATGAAGAAGTACAAAGGCAAACAAATATATGAGAAAATGTTCGGCATAATTTATTATTCAAGTGATGCAAATTAAAACAATGCTGATATTCCATCTCACTCCAGAACTAATAGTTATCATCAAGAAATCAACCAATAACAAATGCTGGAGGGGCTCTGAGAAAAATGAGCCCTTCTTCCCTGTTGGTGGGAGTGTGGACTGGTGCAACCATTGTGGAAATCAGTGTGGAGATTCTTCAAAACACTGGCACTGGAGATCCCACTTGAGCCAGACATTCCCCTTCTTGGTATCATCCGAAAAGAATTAAAAGCACCATAGCACAGCAATGTATGTACACCAGTTCACAGCAGCAGAGTGTGCAATAGCCAAATCTTAGAAACAACTTAAATGCCCTTTGATTGAGGAATCAATAAAAAAGCTGTGTTTTTTTATACAATGGAGCACTACTGAGCCATAAAGAAGTATGAATGAGACATATATAGCTACATGGGTGGATTTGGAGACCATACTCTTCAGTGAAATAAATTGGACACACATATGTAAATATCACATTGTCTCTCCGGTGTACGTGGGAAACATAATGCATAATACACATTGTGAAACAGGAAGAAATGGTTCACAGGGCAAGGGGAATTGAGGGTGAGGGAAAGAAGGAAGAAGAAGAAAATGAGAAACAAGGATAGAATTGGAACAAAGCTTTGTAAATAAGGAGGGGACATAGGGGTTGAAAGGAAGGGGGGGAAACTGCAAAAAAAAAAGAACTAAGTATATCATGTGCAGGTACAAGTTCCCTACGACTAATGTGATAGTTATGTACATCTAAATTGTACTAATGAATTTAGTTTTTAAAAATGATAGGGAAAAGTTCATGGAAAAATAAACAAGAATACAATCATAACCTGAAAGCAGAGGAAGATACTGTCTTTATTGAGTAGGATATAATACACTCTCTAGATAGCACATTGCTAAAGGCATTGTTAACGATTTGAGTGTTTCAAAATATAAAGATTAACCTGAGGTATATAAAAAAACAATAGTATTTATGAAAAGGTGCATGATCTAAACAGACATAGTAACACACTGAATATTAAGATAAGTTTTTTTTTCAGATTCTGAGGATAAAATCCACAGAGAGGTGCCCTCCCATTGAGCTACCTACTGCCCCAAACTCAAAAGTTCATTCTTCAACATTTGTTTCAATTATTCAGGAAATTATATTAATTTTAACTTGTTTTCAGTTTTCTTTTCAGAAACTTTATATATTATCTTGGCATAAATGTCACAGAAATGATAAAATGCCTCTGGCTACTTAAAAATATGTAAAGTTAAAGCACTATTTCTATGTTATCTTAAAGGAAATAACAGTAAAAATGAAGTTAGCTTTCCTTAAAAAATACTGTTATCATAATTTATAAAGCATTTAGTACATTTTCCTTGAAACATGTAGTCTGTTTTTTTGCTACTTACCTTCTCGATTTTTTCATCCAGCATTCTGAAGAATTCTTGTTGGCTTTCAGAGATGTGCATGCTGAAAAACAAAGAGGAGTTAAATATCTGTTCAAATGCTTTCTTAACCCCAGCCGCCTCAAACGAAACATGGTGAGCCCATACACTCTGGGGCACTTTTTTGCAGATTTTCCTACTGAAATACTCCAGATTGTATTAGAGATGTATGTCATTACAGTAATCCTCAAGTGTGTTTCATAATAGTCTACCAGTGTCTACGATTGAAAGAACACAATTTCCTTTCAATATACAGATGTTATATATAGTAATGTTAACTAGGAGGTACGTGTCAATTTTTTTCTCCATAACCCATTCATAATTTAACAAGAAACAGAGCAAGGGCAGGCAGCACATGGCATATTTCAATTTTGTGCAGCATAAAAAGAAAATTTATCCTGGTTATATTAAAATGTGTATTTTAAAGAGGTTGCCAGTATCCAGCTGATGTACAGATGTGGGATGGAGACCAGCAAGCTGAGAACACGGCGATTTCCTTGACATTGTCCCTGATCACATTCTACCTCTTCAGGACCAAAATTCCCTGGAATGTGTAAGCTAGTCAGAGGGAACACCTGACAGGTACTTGCTCTATGTGTTTGCATTTTCTATGCCATTTAACAGCTTGCTCAGTAAGATGTTGACATGGTTGGTGGGGACAAAACACGAGAAGAGAAACATGGCAGATGAGAAGGGTATGGGCAGTATGTGCCTCAATGGTCTTGTTTCTACTGAGCAGAGTTAAGGGTGTTCCATGGAGACTGAGGATGCTGAGTCAGAGACACACACGCCATGTTTCTTTCTGTTCCTACTAGTGCTTACTGGTTGTAGGATCTGGTATTTGCATGTGGGAATAAGTTCAAGAATAGTTTCTTCCCGTCAATCTAAGTGTGGGAAGAAGTCTAACTAATGTGCCATTGCACAATGCTCATTACATTAGCACAAGTAGCACAAGTGACCCTAAGCCCTTCGAGCCTCCTCTGGCAGACAGCAGAACTCAGAGGAACATTCTCCCTTGATTTGAAACCAAGATTCAAAGTCTGTGAGCACGTGATATAAGCTTTGTTTTAAGGAAAATAATGCAAATATCTGACACCATTAATCATTTCACAGTTTACAAATTACTTTCACACATCATTTAATTTTGCCATCCTTTATATATCAGTTTAAGTAAGGCGAATGTTTTGTTTGGGGAAGGATGTGTTTCTTAACACAGGTTTGAGAGGGAAAGCAGGATCTAGGATGAGGATACATTAAACACTGTCTCCTCAGAATCTTGGACATAAAAGCCCTTTTGCATATGGCATTTTCCCAGATCAGTCATCGTTTTACTTGTTGAAGCACCGAAACAGCTTTTATTTGAGCCACTCTGGATGTCAACCTTTTTAAATTATACATATTTTAATAGAGGATCTGCCCCAAATGATTCTTAATTTTCCCTGTCTGACTTGGATCTGTGTCCTTGTTCTCAAATCCTAATATTCTCTGCAATGAGGTGCTAACCAGAGACACTGGCAAGGGTGGAGCAGGCTCTCTGTCAGCAACATGTCTTGAGCTCCCATTCTCAGCCTGCTTTGAGTTTTCCTCATGTCCCTTCTTGTCAGAGTGGTGTCAGTCCTCCCTCAGCTTTCCTCTCAGCTGCTGCTTCTGCTCCATGCTTACAAGTGCACAGCCAGGTTTGTCTGCTGTGTCTGCAGTTCGTGTAACAGGATCTGAGAGGAGCCATGGGCTTTCCCATGAGTCAGAACATGCATCTTCTGGCCTCCATGTTGGCTGTCCAGGTTTCCCTTGGGCATCCTTCCTGTTTTTCGCCAAGTTCTCAAGAGATGAGATTGCTGGACAGCTGTGGGTCTCACATAGGAAAAGCAGGAAGAGATGCTACTGGGGAATGAATCCAGAGCCCTGCACATGTTAGCCAAGCACTGTACCTCTGAGCCACATACATCTCTAACACTTTTCATTTTGAGACAGGGTCTCACTAAGTTGCCCAGAATGGCTTTGAACTTGCAGTCCTCCTGCCTCAGCGTACCCAAGTAGCTAGGATTATAGCTGTGCACCACTGCACTTAGGAAAATACCTTGTCATAGATAAGATATTATAACCCTGTGTATACATAGTTTCCCTAACAAAATTACAAGAGATCTCGCAACAATGGTATTTTAGGTCTGTGTTCATGGAAGAAAATTTCTGGTTGGTCTTCTTAGCATATATTGTTTTGTACATAATAGAAAGGCAAGAAATTTTGTTAATTAAACAACAAAGTGCTTTCTACATTAATGTGATTCATGGGCCTGCACAGAGTCAGCACATGTTAGGATGGGTGAGGTGTAGTCTCAGAATCCTCATTTAATCAGTGAAATTGTCTCTGGAGTCCCTTCTATCACTCACAGTCTATGAGTGTTACCAATTTCTTTGGCTCCCTTACTTAATGGTCACAATATGAACTGGTTGGTTCGCACTTATGCCTATGCACACCAGGGGGCTAGGGAGACGTGTCTTAATGCTGTAGTTGTGTTTGCCATCTCTGAGATCACAATGTAGTTACTGGAGACTCTAAATCAGGAGCTGGGGACTGAAGGTGAAAGCCAGGGGCCTCAGGATGCAGACCTCATGCTCACAAGCACAACACCTCAGAAGTTTCAGCTTTGCATGTCCCACTGCCATGGAAACACTGCAGTTTTCTTTGTCCAAGAGCATTAGGCCTGTCTGCCTTTGCCTCAGCTGGTAAGTGACCACGGTGAATCATACAGACTGACTGACTCTCTTGCCATGCTGAAATACAGTTACACTTACACTGTTAGGATTAACTGAATGGAGGCAGACTTGCTATTATCAAAGCTGCATGCTATGAGACTTTCCATCCCTGAGACTGGCAGACACTGCCAGGGAAGCAAATGCCCACACAGCATCCCAGTTATCTGTATATCATCTCAGGAATGGTGCCATATGAAAGCATGAGGCTTACTCTGCCGGTCTCCATAGGCTCATTCCAGAAGTAAGAACATAAATAAACTATCTCATATCCACGATTCTTGCTTGGACAAACACAGATCCCTCTCTTCCCAAGAAGAATTCTATCCATAGAGCAGTACTAATATGAGTATTTACCTTAAGAGTACAAAATGTACTGTGAAGACCAATCCTGGCACAGCAACTCAAATTTCAGATTCTTTCTAGAGCACAATTGCTGACTGTGAGTGGGAAGAAGAGAGGAAGAAAAGCTCACGGCTTCCCCATCTTCCTTCAAGCTAACAGAAAGGGACTATTAAACTGTCTATGATTTAAGTTTACAGAGTATGAATGGTTGGTGCTGAGATTCATTAGACCTAAGAAGCTTTTACAAAGCTTTGTGCTGGTACCTGATCTAATGAATAAAGTTTACCAATTCAGTATTTCCTATCTCTCTCCAATAACGAAGACTCAACCTTGCATTTCTTGTGCCTCCAGTTAGTGCTGCTAAGCTCTGTGAGCTTCCCCAGCACCACCACAGGCTCTTCCTTCTGGGACCTCTCAGCTTCATGGGACATGGGAGGACAACACTAAAGAATCAAACTAAGGAATGAGGGCAAAATGGGCTCAGAATTAAAAGATGAAATGACTTACATTTCTAGTGACTTAAATAATAAAAAGTACCAAATAATAAAATACCAAGTTACAAATCTAAAAAAGATGACATGAAAATGGGAGGGAGAATATTACTAGGCAAGTGGAAGGGACCAAGGCGGAGGACATGTAAAGGATGGTAATGAAAAGATGGACATGATCAAAATTATATGTATGCATGCATGAAAATACCACCTTCAAATCCAATAGTTTATACAATTAATAGGCACCAATAAAAATATAGTTTGTAAAGTAGTATGTCATGTGAAAAAAAAAAAAAGATAAGCTGAGCAAGGTTCTAATTCTTTAAAATTTTACATGAAAAATACTACTTTGGAAATTCACTATTCTGAGCCAAAGGCATTTGAAAAACAGCATGTGAAGGACACGCTGATCTCCCCTTTTTTCCCTGAAAGCAGGAGATACAGTTCTTTATACCGGGAGAAAAGAAATGTTGTTACCATTGGAGATGGGGAGCTAAAGCCAAGAGAATCCTCTGCAGACCTTGTTAAAGTAACTATTATCAATTTTTGGTGACCCCTCCTCTGCCCCCATATTTCAGGCATTCTCCACAATTGCCTATCTTTGTTCAGCCTCATATATAAGCATTTAGTTTCTGTGCTTTCTGGGATCTTCATTTTCCTACAGAGATTCCGTGTACATGTTAAAAAAAAAAAAAAAAACTCTATCTTTTCTCCTGCTAATCTGTTTTATACAAATTTAATTCTCAGGCCCGGCTGGAAACCCCATGAGGACTGAGGTAAAGTTTTGACTCTCTTACACCTACAAACATGAAATTCAATTACCCAGGAGGTTCCTGTAACCTTGGCCTGACCACCGTTATCCTTCATTACCATCATTGTTTTTCAGCGGGAGCTCAGGGAAATAGACTGATCTTCATTTCATGACCGATTTCTACTTGCTTTTATTTATTGAGTTAATTATGTTGTTTTCACAAAATAGTATAATAAGGATGCATGCAAGCAAAACAAAAACTAAAACTAGAACCTTGACAACCAGCCACAGTGAACTCCAGGTTAGTTCCTGTCCTCGTGTGCTCCCTCCACCCCGTGTGACCTATGTATCTTCATTTGTCTTTCAGATAGTTCCACTGCAGTTCTATGAGTATTTTAAAGCAGACAGTTACCAATAGCAGTTGTTTTTTTTAACTTTATAAGGACAGCATCATGGTCTAGGCATCCACCAGGAATCACTCTTTCTTCTAATACATTGCTAGAGCCTACCCAGCACTATGGATTGCAAAACAGTCTGTTAAACTGTGGAATCATATTCTCTCTGTTATGTAAATATAGCACAATTCATTTATTGGACCTTTAAAGGGCATTTTGGGTTTTTCAAACTATTCAGGCATCCTTACCAAGTGCCAGACAATGTTATAAGTACTGGGTATACATTATCATATTTGATTCCAGGACTTGTCTGACAGAATTTTTCAGTTCCATTTTTCTTTAAGAAAACAAAGACATTAGGTCACCTGCCTGAGGCCACAAAGCTGCCGTGTGTAGCAACAAATGAAGGTGTGAAGGCTACTTTCTTTATCGGATGGATTAGCCTTCTAATAGTGGGGTAAATAACCTTCTATTTATTCATTCATTCATACTGGAAATCAAACCCAGGACCTTGAGCATGCTAGGGGTGAGCTCTACCATGGAACAACACACCTCCAGGTCTATTTTATATGTCTGCATAATAAATGATGGCTTGTTTTTTAACATTACATGTCAACAGCAGAAAAAGTATAACTCTTCCTTAAACATCCCTATTCCAATAGATTTCTTAGTTGAATTCCAGGCACCCAATATTCTTTTTCCTATATTTTCTGTTTAAAACACACACACACACACACACACACACACACACACACACACACGCGTGCGCGCGCACATGCACACGCACATGCACGCGCGCACACACACAATGTGAAGACGGTATTTTCTTCATCATTTTAGTGTAAACTCATGAGCCAATTTAATAAACTCCTCTGTGAGCTGTAGCACTTGCCAGTTAGTCTGCAAAGCATGCTGCTTCAGGGTGTCAAGGTTAAGGAATGTGTTCTTCCTAATAGGACAGAGAAATCATCCATCCAATCTCTCTGTGTAAGTCAGAGGCAAAGGAAGCATTTGAAAGTTGCATACTTGGGGCTGGGGATTTAGCTCAGCGGCATAAGCACCTGCCTTGTAAGCAGGCAGTCGTGAGTTCGATCCCCGGTACTGATAAAAAGGAAAAAGACCAAAAAAAAAAAAGGAAAGTTGCATACTTCACAGGGCTTGGATGAAAAGGTGATTTGGCTGTGTTATCAGACATTTATTGTCCCCAAAGGCAGATGCAGCGCATCAAAGCGATTAGCAGGGAGGCAGATGAGGAAGGTTACTGTTATAGGACAATGTTAACCTGAGGGTGAAATAATTCATCTTATCATTACACTCATGTTGTAAACCGTAAGTGGATTTTAAGATGTTCAGCTTTCTTTGAAAATAAAAATTAAATCATTGGGATGTTCCCTATCCTCGGAGGTACCTGACTGCTGTGGCACAGGGCCACCCCTGCAGAGATCCACAGACAAAGAGCGAGGTTAAGTGATTACAAATGGGGTTGTTTTTAGGAACTTTTCTAAGAAGGCCCATAGATAATGTAACTTCTGCTTATGATCTTGATTTTTGTGGTTCCTATATACATGTAGTAGTCAAGTTTTGGTGGTTCCCAATGTACCTGTGTCACAGGTATCATCAGGGCATTTGTTTGAATTTAGGTAGAACACCGCAGTAGAGGTGGCTTCTCAGCACAGTCCTTTTCCATTTGGTGGTACTGAGGATTGAAACCATGGCTTCACGCTCACTACATTCCTAGTCCTTTTTATTTTGAGACAAGATTTTCTTAGTTGCCCAGGTGAGACTCAAACTTGAAACTCTCCTGCCTGACATTTCTGTGTTGGGATCACTATTGTCCACCACCACGGCCAGTTAACAGAGCCTCTGTTAAGAAAGGGGAGGCTGGCTTCATGGCCTCAGAGAGTGCCAGGCACAGTGGTGCATGCCCATAGTCCCAGCATTTGGGAGGCAGAGGTAGGAGGATTGCCATGAGTTTGAAGCCAGCTTGGACTACGCAGAAAGACCCTGTTTCAGAAAACAAAAAAAGTAAAATGGTTTCAAAGTACATTTTATTTCCAATATAGAGCCAGTTCTAAAGTAATCTAGAAAACTACTCATTAGTTACTTTAACCTTTAAAATGCATTTACTACTTTAGTAAAAAATTTATGGATGATTACTTGTTGGTAATCCACATATTTTCAAGTACTTGCTCACTGAGGAAATGTACTAGCACTCTACAATCCTCACGTAGTGTAATCTGTTTTTCAAAAGGGGTTTTTCTTTAAAAATCATTAAAATTTTTAAATTATGAATTAGAAACACATAGAAAGCATATAATGTTAGTTTCACTTTCCTGAATGATAATGAAAGGCACATCCATATAATTAACATCCACATTGAGAAATAGAGCTCTGGTTCCACAGTCTTGTAATCTGTCAGGCAAAACCTTATACTAAACTCAGTTTTGAATTTAATGCCTTTCACTGCTTTGCCTCTCCTTATTGTTTTACTGTTCACTAGACTGCTTATTTCTGTTTTTGAACTTCATTGAAATAAAGCCATATGTAGGCACATACTTGAGATTCTGCCATTTGGTGTATTATGGGCCACCCATTTTCATTGATGTGTAGTATTCCCCATCATATTGCAGTTTTGCTGCCCACTATTGTCTTTGATGGAAATTTGGTGTTACCTTCAAGGGCTCATGTAAATGAGCTCAAAATATATCTTCTGCCACAAGAATTTCCTAAGGGTATACACCTGGGATTGGTACTGCAGGGTAAAGCATGCTTAGAGTCAATTTTATAAGAGTATGTAAATTGTTTTACAATAGGAATATCTACTGATCCATTCCCAGTTGATACTTTGTATTGTTAGATTTTTAAGCTGTTGTCAATTTGGGAGTATGAACCACATGTTTTCTTTTGTGTGTAACAGCCATTTATTTCCAATTCACTCAAATAGTTACTCCTGTCTTTAGCCGCTACTCTATGGCTTCTCTGTCTTTTACTTACTCATTGGTGGAATTACTTTGCGTATTCTGGATACTCACATATGTGGTCTTCCTCCATTTTGTGGCTTTTTACTTCTGACAATATATTTTGATAAACAGAAGTCCTTAATTTTAGTGTAGCCATTTTCATTAATGATTTTCCTTAAGACTTGCATTGTTTTGTGTCCTAATCAAAACTTCCCTTATCCCATGATTATAAAGTTGTTTCTCTCCATTTTCTGCTAGCTGGTGTGCAACTGTGAGCTCTGTGGTACACTGCGGAGGTTTTGGGACTCTCCTGAGTTCACACTGTCACAATTACTAACGCTTTATATATATTAAGTTTTGCTTACCTGGTGGGCAAAATGGAGCTCATTCTGAAAACATTTTCAGTTTAAAAAAAAAAAACATAAGAAAAATAAAAACCAGAACTTACTTTGCTCTGGATTGATGAACTAATCCAGGAATCTCTTTATTAGTTTTAAGTCTTACATTTGAGCTGGCATTTTTTTCCTGTAACACACAAGCATACACATGGAAAAGACAAGATCAGAATCTGAATTTAAACAGTAGCATGAATTTTCATAACAGAAATGTTAGGTAGAGCTCTTCAGGGTTCTCTACCATGACTAGTTACTTCACAAGAATAGAAATCTTCACAATGGTGTGACACAATACAAATAGAAATCACAAGACATTTTAACAGGGAACACTGGAATAGAGGAATTATTACATCGATGATAGTTTAAAAGCAATGGACACCTAATATGTAGTTGTTCAATTATAACACAGAATCAAAGAATAGGAGATTCTTGTGTCAAAAAAAGAGAAGTAGCAGTATATTCACATTGTCTACTTGTCAAAGTTAACTGATTTCAGTGATTTTATTTGTAAAGTTAATTGCAGTTACCGAGATACAGTTTGCACAGAACCTACCAGTGACAAGGATGAGAATATGACTAAAAGTAATGATTTTCATTTCCTCAAAAACACTGTTAATGATTTAGAATGCCTTAATACTAGCCTGGATTCAAGAAGGGCTTCTTGGGCATTTTCACCTGCCCTGATTTCTTATTTCCGGCACACCATTCACATGGGAAGGAAATACTCTCGATTCTTAAATGTAAACACACCAGTTGCAATCTCAGCGCTACTGTTCTTATGTTTTTAAAGAAATATGCAGAAAGACGTTATAATTTCATTGCAAATCTACTAAAGTGAAAGGAAACATAATTCTAAGCCTATTTAGAAGGCAACGATTACACATTCCAGCAACTTGAAGTGTGGCTGTAATTAGTGTCTATGACGAATAAAAACTGCTGTGGGGAAACTCAATATTCTCACCCCATGTGGAGTGAATTGGGAAGCCATGTAACACAGATGGTCCCAAAATGGGTTCTTTACTGCTCATATTTCTCCTAGGACAGCAGAAGCCAGTTAAGCCTGTGGAATTCCAATGATGTATGTGCTGTGGTTGTTTGTTATTTACCATGTACGTATCTGTATCAATTAGTGCTCTAAAAAATAAGGTAATTTTGTTGTGTTCCAGAAAAATAAAGTGACAATTCTCTTGCAGTCAATCTGACATTTTCTGCCTCACAATAAAATTGAGAATGTTTTCAGTGAACAATTGAGAAGTTTAAGTCCCTTCAGCACATGCAGACAGGCAGGTGAACTATCTTTTCTTTTACAAAGTCCATGGAAGAATAAGAAAACTCTAATGGACTCGATGCAGAAGGGCAGGGCCAGGTCCTCTCTTACCATTGGGCTGTAATGGCTGGTGTGGTGGTACTCGGCAAATAGTGGCGGAATGAATGAACAACGCCAAACACACGATTAATCGACCTTTAGAAGTAAGAGATAAATAGCTCTAATGTAGTCTCTGCAAGACTATATAAAGGTTCCTTTCAAGTTGTTCATTTTATTCCTTATGTTATGTCCTTACATGTTCTTCCTTATACTGTGTCCTATACTTATGTCTTCTTTGGTTAAACATTGAAAATGGGTGTATATGATACGACAGACCCTTACCCTTTTCTTTGTACATGTAATTTCCCACCTAAACTCTTTGGGTTTAAATGATACACCATAATTTTTCAACATTGTTGAGGTAGGAAGTCACTTTCAAATCTAAGAATACAAACGATATGCAACAGTAATCTATTTATATTCAAATTCATTAAACTATATCCTTCATAATTACATTTATTCATAAAATCTTCCTTAAAATCTTGTTGTGTAGTTAAAAAAGAAGAGTCCCTCCTAAACAACGGAGGCTCAAAGGATGAATAGGAGAGAGAGCAAGTATCTTTACATTTTCCAATTTGAAAACATATATAATAATAAACTTTCTATTACACATATATTTATTTTTACAGTCACTCACCAAGACCAATCATGATTATTTACTGAGCACTTACTATGTCAGGCACTATTTTCAGCAATTTACACGTATTAACTCATTTTAATGCCTATAATATCTTCCTAAGATGGGTACCATTGTTCCCACTTTATAGATAAGCAAGCTGAGGTATCAAGAGGTGAAGTACTCCCCTGGAATCATACAAGTAATACTGTAAGTAGCAATACTGGGATTTGAACTCAAGCAGTTTTCTTCCAGAGTCCATGCTACTAGCCACCAGGCCAGTAGTTAAACTTTTTAGCTTTAAGACCTTTTTACTTATAGTATTCAAAGTTTGACCCACTTTATTATACAATATGAAAATAATCACACGTGTTTAAACTTCCATTCATCTCCTCAAAAGCTGGTACTACATTCTCACCACCATGCCCACACACATCAGAAATCTTAGTCGACACTACCAAGCTCACAGTGGTAAGTACAAAGTTTTCCAACCTTTTATGAAAGTAGTTTGCCAAATTCCCAGGTCTAAATACCCATAATTTATTTGTATTTTTTAAACACAGAAATAGTATACCATTAAAAAAAAAGGAAGAGCTGCTAGTTCAGCTTGCAACTCAACTGTAAAAGTGTTTTTTTTTTTTTTTGGTGATAATCATCTCACTTGGGTGTGCAGAAGAAATGCTTTATGCATACCTCCAATTTTACACCCTAGACTATTAAAAAGACATGCACCTAGAAGCCACAAGATTTAATAAAAGTAAATAATTTGTACTGTTTCATCAAGGGAATTCTTAAGTGAAAGCAGAATTTCCTTTTCTATCTGAGTCCGGGATGATGGTGAGTACAATGATTACCGTATTTCTCCCTTTTCAGTTGCCAAGGAAAGGCCTGAGGCTGAGTAATTTGTAAAGATGGATTTATTTAGATTGGTATTGAAGGCTCAAGGTCTACAATCGGCTCCCTACCTGTCCAGCCTCTTGTGAGGGTTCCTTCAGCTGCATCACAACATGGTAGACAAGGGAAAGGGAGGTTACGCCATGCAGAGGAGGCCACACCTACGGAGTGCTCTCACGTTACAACCCACCTGGAAAGCACTAACAGACTCCATGAGATCAGCATTGATTTCTTTGGGGAAAAGTGTCCTAATGACCTAATTATCTCTTCCTTCACCACTGAAAGGTTCCACTACCTCTCAAAATTAATGCACCACAACCTGTGAGTCAGGAAGCTTTGGGAGATTGTATCTTAAACCACAGTGAATACAACTAGAGTCTCATGCCATGATCCTGGTTTAGTCTAAGACATCTTTAGTCCTATCTACTAATGTTTTTTTTTGTACTGGGAATTGAATTCAGGACCTTGAGCTGGCAGGCAGCTGCTATGTCACTGAGCTAGATCCCCAGCCTCTACTGTTGCTCTTGCACAACAGTGTAAATGTTAATACAGTGAAAAAGCCAAACAAATGGGCCTTGAGTGTTACTGGGAAAATACCTTGAGAATTTCCAAGCAGTCTGCACACTACAATTTGACCACAGTCCCTTTATTTCCATAGGAAAAAAATCAATCATTTAATTATGCTATCCACCTTGCTTTAAAAAAATTAATAACCTTATTGAGGTAAAATTCCGTAGACTTTTCCCTATCTTAATTGTATGATGAAATGATTTTAGGACATGTAAAGAGCTGTGTGATCATCAAAATTCAGGTTTAACACAAGTCTATCATTCTAAAAGACTGCCTCATAACAATTTGCATTTAATTCCTGTTCTCATCCAGAGATGCAGGTAACCACAAGTCTGCTTTCTACCTCTTTGGCTTTCCTGGATGAATATAAATGGAGTCACACGATATGCAGCCTTTGTGTTTGATGTTTTTTTCACTTTACATAATGTTTTTGAGGCTCATCCTTGTAGCATTTACCAGTATTTCATTTATTTTAATTGCTCAGTAAGATTCTAACGTGTAAAGAGACCACGTTTTGTTCACCTACCCATCACTTGATGGATGTGCAGATTGGTGATGTTATAAATAAATGTTGTTAGGAACATTCACATGCAAGCCTTTGTGCAGACATGTTTCATTTCTCTTTGGTGGATTTCTAGGAGTGGAACTGTCGGATTACGTAGTAAGTCTGTGTTTCACTATTGAAGATACTGACAAACTGTGCTTCAAAGTGCTGCATTAGTTTACATTCCCATCAGCAGTGCATCACGGATCCAGGTTCTCCACCACCCCATCACCAATACCTGGTATAGCCTTTAGATTACGGCCATTCCAGGGGCAGACAGTAGTGTCTCATTGTGGGTTTTATTTTAAAAACATGAGGTTTAAAGATTTGTTTTTATTTTTCTGTGCATCCTGCAGAACACGTAGGACCTGGCTACACGGAAGTATCTGTATGTTCAATGAATTGCTGCATTTGTATAAAGAAGTCAGTTTAAGAAAAAACAAGTCAGTTTTATGGACATATATGGACATATATATATACACATATATTTATAAACATAATTAATTTCTACTTTGGGATTCATTTTCTAGGAGTGTTTTAAAGAGTCTTTTGAAAGAGCCTTTTAGAGAGTCTTTTTAGAAAAGAAAAAAACTGCAAGTAATGAATCAGGCTGAAGGAATGAGAAAGGTGGTGGCAGCAGAGAGACGTGTGGTCACTACCAGAATCAACTCAGATGGAGCACACCAAGCATAAAGGGCTGAGAACCGTGTGAAATCTGCACTGCTCCAGGGACAGGAAAAGGAAGTTAAACTGGGAGAATATGGAAGAGACAACTAGGACGTTGTTTTCCTTAGCAAGACAAAAGCTATTTTAATGATATGTGATCCTTGTAAACCAAGTACTCTATGTATAATAAACGAGAACAGCCTGGTGTGGTTGCATACGCCTGTCATCACAGCACTTGGGGGACAGAGGCAGGAGAATCATTGTGAATTTGAGACCAGCCTGGGCTACACAGTGAGGTCAAGGCCAGCCTGCACTGCTTAGCAAGAGCCTGTCTCAAAAAGACAAAAATAAATAGATAAATAAAATAAAATAAAATAAAATAAACTGAGAACAACTGGGTGAAGATGAAAAGCCATTTGAAAGGGCAGTTTGTTTTCATGGATTCATCTAATACTCATCTCAGAAGCATCCTGG